ACAAAAATTAGTTAGATATATATATATATATATATATATATATATATATATATACCGATGTATGACCAATTTTCTATTTTTACCTCGTGTATCAATACCCAACATACCCCGGTATGTATACAAATTATATGTCAGATATCGGAGAAAAATGAAGTTTCTTTATAAATTTTATGTTTTATTATTAGAATTATATATATTCTTGTATCTTATGAAAACAAAAAAAAATTAACTAGACAACAAATTTAGTTTCAGATACAGAGTCATGTGTCTTTATTCATAAATTTGAATGTGAAATATTTTTGGACCCTGTAACATTAACAAATATGGGCCGATTTTGATGAAATAAATTTTTTTATTGAATATGACTTAGAAAAGTAAAATTATACTGATTATAATACTTTTATTCTCATATGAACAAAAATATTTAAGTTTAAATTTTAAAATTTTAATTTTTGACCATGACTTTAGCAATCATTTTTTGCAAAAAAAAGTAATAGCTTCTTGAAGTCAAAATTTTACAAAGTTAAATTTTGCATAATGTACATTATACGTTATGAAGGCGTTTTTTTAGGATTTTTTGCATGTGATATTTTTGTTAATAGGAAAGCAATAAGAAAACTTAAAAAAAAAAATTATAAAATTTAATGGTTTATGATCAAAAACTATTTAACTTATATATAAAGACGTTTTATTAAATTAGTTTTAATAATTATCTGAATTATGCACTAGAAATGTATAAAAAGATGAAATAGCCATATAAATTGTTTGACATACCCGGGTATGTTGGGTATTGATGTATGTACGTAATTTTGCTCGGGTATAGACAAGACGGTTAAAATATGTATAAGCGGGGATTCCTTTGAAAGACTTGCTGCGTAGAAACTATACCAACATCGATGTTTAGATTTTAATGTACATAATTTTATTTTTAAATTACCACTGAAACATACAGTTTTATCACACAATTCTGTGGTACAAAATATTAGTAAGATATTTTTGTACTTTTCACGTTTTAATGTGTTAAACTGCTAAATAACTATAGTAAGTTATAAAACTTTCGATATTTTCTGAAGTTCTAAAAAGATTTTTATAAAAAATTTTACACAATACGCAGTGGCGTAGAATCTAATATGCTCTACTTAGAGCCCCTACAACGCTAACTATTGAGTTCTTGTGGGGTCTATTTTTCTTAACTTAAGCTAGAAAATTTCATATGTTCATGTCAAGTTTTATCTCGATGCTAGATTTATTTCCAAAAAATATATTCTGAGCCACTCTGCGCAATGTAGATTTCAGTACAGAGATGCAAAAAATCCAGAATCATGATTTTTTGCATAGCTACTTTTCTTTTTTTGCCATAGACTGAACTAATATTTCGAATAATTTGTTGTCTCGGTATTTTAAGGAGGAAGTACACATCACGCGTTGAACTTCTGTCAAAAAAGTTGAAATAGTGTATTTTAATTTAACAAGTTACACACTATAGTTTGTAACGCGTCTGCCGCGAAAAGTTAGGCAACTTTCAACTTTTGGCGCGTCGGCAACTCAATTAGGGTGGTATTTTGTTTTGTGTAGAATAAAATTAAATTAAAATGAATTGAAATAAATTTCCCCAACAATGACGCTTGGTGTGTAACTTGCAGCTTATAAAACATTGAAAAGCGTGAAACGCGTTGCCGCCTTAACGAGTGTTGTCTACTTTCAGCTTTAAGATTATATTAAATATTAGAGTTTCTAATTTCCCGTACATTTTTCATTCCCGAGAATTGATTTAAAATAACGTTTATTCCCGGGAAATTTAAAAAATTTTCAATATACAATAACCTGCAACATTTTTAAGAAATATGTTTTCGACATTTCTGTATCATATTTATTTAGTTATGAACATTTCCTATAAAGAAATATCTGATTCATATTAAGATTATGAACTCTTTATAATTTGGAGCTATTTCACAAAATTTCATTGAAAAGGTAAATTAATTCCGCATAATAAAATAAAAACTTAAATTTCTTTCGGAGTGAAATCAGTTTCTATTTAAATTTTAATTATAAATTTTTCTTAAAGTTTTAATCAAAACTTTTACTAAAAATGTATAATTAAAACTATAATTTGATTTGTTTTGAGAATTAACAATATTAATAAGAATTTGAAGAAACTAAAAATAAGGAATTTGAAAGATTGAAATTATAACGACGGTCGGAATGTCTCACAGCACTTTTTGAATTACAAAATTGTTCTCCAGAAGATATTTCCCACATTTATGGTTGGAAACTATTTAAATGTAATATTTCCTATCCTATGGAATTAAATTGAGTATTTTAGTAAATTAAATTTTATTATTTAACTATGCTAATGTATATGAACTAATTTTATTTACTCTTATTACAGAAACTGCAGACAATAAACGATGAAACTAACAAATCATGTTCTGTGGGAAGCAGCGAACACAACTTGTTAAAAAATAGAAGTGATCTGGTTATTCCTTATGATCGGAATCGGGTTCGTATATTAATAAATAATGTTGTATTATTTTAAGTCAAAGTAGTGTTTTTAATATATTTTTAATTTATAATGCCCTACACTATAAACGAAATATTATTTAATCAAACCCTCTTATAATTTTACGAAATAACGAAAACCTGTGTTAATATATATTTTTCTTCGTATATACATACATATTAAGAAACATTGTTTTATTTTATAAAAATAATTTCGTTACCTTAATTTTTGTAATAAATAAAAAAATATTTTTGCACATTACGAAATAATTGTACGAAAAGATTTTTTTATATTTTACGAAGTAAAATAATTTTATTACGATTTTTTATTTTAATTAATTTAAGAGATTTAAGCGATTAATTAAGTTACTAAATATAATTAAATAAAACTACATGCCCATTTTTTATAAAACTTACGAATTCACGAATTATTTTCATTACATAAAAATAATTCGTATGGATAATAATTTGTTAAATTAAATTACAACTTATTTCTAAATGAAAAAAGTTTTTGTGTAATTTAAAAATATTACGTAAATTTCACCATTTTTATTCTAAAATTACAAAAATGCAATTTTAACTGAATTTTAAATTACTCCAAGTACCTCAAATATGCTGAAATTTTTCATGTATATACATATGGGCAATTTCGTGTCAAGTTACCCTACTTTTAAAATTGATGTCTTCTGATTTGGATGAAATTTTCACTATTCAAGAACTCCCGGACTTTGAGTGGGTCAAAGTTGTACATTTTGGTCATACAGGGCTTTATTCGAATGAGTGTAACTTTTCACTTATTGTCCCTAGTAAAAATTGTCCTTCATAAATATAGAGCCATTATGAGGGTCGGTGCCATATAGGAACATATAGACGAAACTGGTTGTCAAAGTAGAAGCACTAAAATAAACACAATTGTTCAAAAAGTACTAAATAATAAATGTATTTTTATTACGTTATTTTTTGTGTGTTATTAATGGGATTTCATTTACTAGTGAAAGAAAATATTAGTTTCGTATATTTTTTAATAAGACGTCTTTTTGTTTTTTATCTTCACTTATGAAAAAAGAAAAAAAATATTTAAAATACTTTTTCCGTTTACAATACATATTATGTACATAAGACAGACTCAATCTATATGGAAAGCCAAAACGTGTTTTTTACCCGCTCAAAATTTACCTTTTTTTGTTTTATGATGATTCCTAAAATAATTTAAGTCTAGAGATGGCCATTCGTGAGCTGGACCAAATTTAAAAAACTCATTTTTGAATTATTTTTTTTTTTAATTCAGTACTCTTTTGAAACATATTCAATTTGGTATCATTTGAAATGGATTTTAAAGCCGCATCTAACGATGTATTAATCATATATTAACAGTCTCCTCATAATTGTCATATTCAAGAAAATAATTTTTTTTTAGGGTTTTCATTAAAATAAATGAAATTTATGCACAATGTTGCAAGTTTTGTACACCATTATACGAGGCTTCAAATGATAGCACATATTGTATATTTTGTTTAAGCAGAGACTGTAAAATTGAAAAAAATAGCTGAAAAGGAATTATTCAGGACTTATTCCACTCACGAACGGCCATCGATAGATTCAAAATATTTTGGGAACCATCATAGAACAAAACAAAGATTTTTTAATATGAGTAAAATTTTGAATTGAACACGTCAAATTGTATTCACCTTAAGATGTTTTTAAACTGTCCAGCTTACGAAAGGACAACACTAAATCCAAAATATTTTGGCTCTATCAAAAATTTTGAATTGAACATGTCAAATTGTATCCCCCTTAGGATTTTTTAAGCTGTCCTGCCTACGAAAGGACAACACTAAATCCAAAATATTTTGAGTAACATCATATGACATAACAACGAATATTTTGAGAGGGGTAACTCAAGCAGTGTGTAAAAATATTTTATATTAAAAAATACATTAATTCATGCCTACAGAAATTTATACTATATGGGCAGTTTCATATCAAGTGCCCCAACTAAAAAGATCGATTTAGACGAAATTTGCACCAATCTTAGTACTATTGGAAAGTAGGTCCAGAACTGCCGGACTTAGAGGAGGTCAAAGTTGGACATTTTTCACCTGTTGGTCCCAGCAAAAATTTTCCAAAGGAGTTCAAATAGCTATTCAATGTTTCCAAAAAAAAATTTTTATTTTTTTTTAAATCATTTTTTAATTTTTTTTTTAAATCCCATTTTTTTATTTATTTTTTTTTTTTTGCTCAATGCTTAGACAATTTAATTTACTTTAATGTTTTTATAGTCCCATAATGGTATGCGAGTGGGACATCTATCAAAAAAATATTTTTTTTAACTTAAGAATAAGATTTTTTCAAATGGACGTTTTTGTTGCTTTTTTTTTTTTTTTTGCTCAAATGAAAGCTTAGACCATTTCCTTTAAGAGCTTTGTGGATACTTAGTGGGATATCTATAAAAAAAATATTTTAACTCAAGAAGCAATGTTTTTGAGTTAAAATATTATTTTTTTTTACATGAGCCCCTTGCTATGTAACTATAAAGATATTATTCTTTTTGTCCTGAAGTGGCATCAAATTCTAAAATAGAAATTAGTTTTCTTTAGAAATAACCATTTAGGTATTGTAGCTGTGAACTCAAAATTACCTTATTATCCTTTTGGCCTGAAGTGGCATTAAATTCTAAAATAGAAATTAGTTTTCTTTGGAAATAAACACTTATTGTAGCTGTGAACTCAAAATTACGCTCTACATCGAAAAAAATTTAAAAAAATCTTTGGACACCGGTGTCCCGTATACGTGAAGAAAGCGTATTTTTTGTCAGTTATGACCGTACTGGAAATGCTTTTGTGTGATTTTTAGGGCAGATTTGCGCATACAATGATCTAAATGAAATTAATTCTTCAGGAACTCCAAATACATTTGTCAAAGAATATTTCGGATGAAAGTACCTACAGCTGTTTAAACTTAATAAAAAACAAGTAAGAAAGTATAGTCGGGCGTGGCCGACCATATGATACCCTACACCAGTTATGAATATTAAATGTGATTTATTTTTCATAATAAAGCATTTATCTTCAATATTCCCTTGTTCCGATACATTTAAGCAATTTATGGATGAAAAACTAATTTTCTGAAAGAGGCTTTATATGGGGGCTAGGGGCAAATATGGACCAAGCCCGATAAAATTTTGTGAATATATTTATATTGGCATAATATTTTATTGTGCTGAATTTCATCATTAATTTGGGACATTCAAGTAATTTTCTGAAGGGGACTTTGTGTGGGAGCTAGGGTCAAATGGGCCCGATCTTTATGAAATTTGGCAGAGTCATCAAGACTTCTATAAAACTTAGTTGTGCCGTATTTTATCGATATATCTGTATATTTAACATAATTATGAGCTCAGAAGCGCTTTTCGGGGGGTTCTGTTCTATGGGGGCTAGGTGAAATAATGGACCGATTTTAACCATTTTCAATAGGCTTCGTCCCTGGGTCAAATAAAACGTGCGTGCCAAATTTCATAAAATTATCTTGAAAATTGCGACCTGTACCTTGCGCACAAGGTTTACATGGACAGCCAGCCAGACGGACGGACGGACATAGCTTAATCGACTCAGAAAACGATTCTAAGCCGATTGGTATACTTTAAGGTGGGTCTACGACGAATATTTTTGTATGTTACAAACATCAGCACAAATCCAATATACCCTCCCCACTAAAGTGGTGTAGGGTATAAATATTGTCAATAAAAATAAAAACATGGTACATAATTAAATTTTTTAAATGTTTACTTACAAATTGTTTAAAAGTTTCTTTGCTTTCCAGCTTGCTGGTAAAATGGTTATACTGCTGGATAGATTCGAAGATCCGCACAGTGTCAGATTTTGCCAATTTAGGGGGACTAAACTCAAAATTTTGTTGGTTCTTTTTTGCCTTAGTTTGAATTCAATATGAGAGACAATTGTCCAAATACGGTACTTCGAAAATCGTGTTTTTTACAACAAATTAAAATTACTCGCTGCATGTTCCCTAACTTTGAACTATTATAACTTTTTTGTTTATAAAGATTTTTTAATCTTTTTTTGGCAATAACTTTTAAAAAAGTATAATTGGGAATAAGGTCCCCACGTCTTTTAAAGTTAACCGTTAATTGTAAATGCATATATTTAAAAAGACATTTTTTCATGGGCTCAAAAACATAGAATACCACTTGATTCTGGGGTTCTGTTGTAAAAATACATTTAATCTATTGGGATTATAAAATATTTTTTGCACCTTTTTGCATACCCCATACACATAACAAGTAACAAGTAAGAAGTTATATTCGGACGAGGCCGACCAAATTAATACCCTACACCAGTTACAAAAAAAATTGATTTAGTGTTCATAATAAAGCATTTAAGTTGAATTGTATCTTGTCTCAGATATACCTTAGGCATTTTTGTTGAATAAAATTGTGTACATAAATATAAGTCATATTTCGAAGGGGTCTTTGTATAGGACTAGGGTCAAATGAGGCCCTATCTTGGTTTTGTAACTTTTTGTCGAGATACGAGTATATTGAAGATAATTATGAACTTAAAAAGCCCTACTCGGTGGTTCAGTTGTATGGAGGCTAGATCAAATATTGGACCGATGTTACCCATTTTCAATAGGATTCGTTTCTAGTACAATAGAAAATTTTGTGTAAAATTTCATTGAATTATATTTAAAATGGCGGCCTGTACTTTGATTACAAGGCTTACAAGCCCTTTTCGGAGGTTTAGTTGTATGGGGGCTAGGTGAAATAATGGATCGATCATAACCATTTTCAATAGGCTTCGTCACTGAGACAATAGACTATCATTTCATTGAATTATCTTAAAAAATGCGACCTGTATTAGTGGTGTGGGGTATAAACACGTAAAATATTAGCAAAAGGAACAAATTTTACTTTAGAAAAAATATATTTATTGTTTATGAGCAAAAAGTACCAATGTTTGCGCGTTTTTTCCCTTTTGCCCCTTT